AGGGCATAACGGCGGACCGTCCAAGGTACAATCAGCTCGTCCCACGCCTTCCTCCGTCGGTAGTGACGCTGATTGAGGACATTCTACTCTGCCCATCGAATGAGGCAAAGTATGAAACGATGAAGCAAGCGATTTTGAAAGAGTTACGACCCAGCGCACGAACACGATTTGAGCAGCTCAATGGTCTCAAGCTTGGAGATCGCAAGCCGTCGGCATTGCTCCGCGAACTTCAGCGCATCGCTGGTCCCTTATTCTTGAGCGAAGAAGGGATAAAGGAGCTGTGGTTTGCACGTCTCCCAGAGCCATTGCCGGTAATGCTGTCCATGTTTATAGATGCACCCTTGAAAGACTTAGCTACCAAGGCAGACGCTGCGTTCGAACGTTTTCCGCAGCAGACGACCAGTAACTCCGGTGACGTATTCTCACCGATGAAAACCGAATCCCATGTTTGTTCCCAGTCGCTAGACCGATCTGACTCTAAAGACGAGGAAATTGCGCTACTTCGCAGCAGGATAGCAGCAATGAAGGCTTCGAAGCAGCGTGTGCCACGGTCAAATGCTGACCACGTTTTGGCTACCGTTCATTGCGGCTCGTCTGTGCCTGCACCGAGTACGTCACGTTCGGCACGAAAGCGCAACATTTTCCTTACAAGTTCTCAGTCAGATAATGTCAAACCCGTCGAAGAAGTATGTTGGTATCACCGCCAATACGGTGGAAGAGCTAGACGTTGTCGGGCTCCCTGCATTAGGCACGACCCAGGGAAAACGAATAGCCCGCATACTAGCACTACAAACGTATCATTTAATAACCAAGTAAACCGACTGTTTTACGTTAAGGATCGACGTTCTTCCATCACGTTCCTCATCGACACAGGAGCGGAAGTCAGCGTCATCCCAGCGACCGCTAGCGACAAGCACTCGAAGCCTACGTACAATTTGCGTGCGGCCAACGGTTCTCCGATAGCTTCATTCGGTCAGCGCATGATGAACCTAGACCTCAATCTTCGCCGAGATTTTCAGTGGGTCTTCATGGTTGCGTCTGTACCCTTCGCAATTATCGGTATCGACTTCCTCCGACATTTTGGGTTGCTTGTTGATGCTGGTCGCCACAGACTTTTAGACGACCGTACGAAACTAGGTGTTGATGGTGTCCTTTCAGATGCCCCGATAATCAGCCCTGTATTTCGGATCGCAGACGCACCGTCCGACTACTTGAGCCTCCTCTCCGAATACCCGCGACTGGTTCGACCGGCTGCAGAGCTTCCACCAGTCACGACAGAGGTCGCTCACCACATAGTTACGCGCGGTCAACCAGTTAGCGCACGGCCAAGACGGCTTGCTCCAGACAAACTACGGGCAGCACGAGCCGAATTTGACCACATGCTTCAACTTGGTATCGTCAGACCGTCCAACAGCCCATGGGCGTCGCCTCTGCACATGGTCCCGAAGAAGGTTGTGGGGGACTGGCGTCCTTGCGGCGACTATCGATCCTTGAATACGGTAACCACGCCTGATCGCTATCCGATCCCACACATAGTGGATCTCACCGCCAGTCTGGCGGGTAAAAATATCTTCAGCAAAATCGACTTGGTACGCGCATACAACCAAATTCCGGTAGCCGAGGCGGACATCGCTAAAACTGCCGTGACGACTCCATTTGGTTTGTTCGAGTTTCTGCGCATGCCATTTGGCCTAAAGAACGCCGCGCAAACTTTTCAGCGTTTCATCGACCAAGTTTGTCGCGGCTTAGACTTCGCTTACGCGTATCTTGACGACATTTTAATCGCAAGCTCTTCACGAGAAGAGCACATACGCCACGTACGAACACTTTTTGATCGTTTATCTCAACACGGGGTGACGATCAACGCAGAAAAGTGTTCGTTTGGTGTCGATTCAGTTAATTTCCTGGGCCATCGTATCTCTTCTGCAGGCGTCGTGCCACTGCAAGATAAAATTCAAGCCATTATCGACTACCCCGAGCCTCATTCTTTCAAACAGCTCAGGCGTTTTGATGGCCTGGTCAACTTTTACCGTCGATTTATACCCAACTGCGCCTCTCTGATGCAACCCCTCACGGACCTTCTCCGAGGGAAACTAAAGACGTTCGAATTTCCTACCGCAGCACGCGCTGCTTTTAAGTCGCTGAAAGAGGCTATCGCCAACATAGCTTCCATAGCGCATCACGATCCGACCGCCCCACTGTCCCTTAGTACTGACGCCTCGGACGTCGCGGTCGGCGCTGTTTTGCAGCAACGCGTAGCCGACACGTGGCAGCCCTTAGCGTTTTTCTCCAAACGCCTACAACCTACCGAATCTCGCTACAGCACGTTCGGTAGAGAACTACTTGCCGTATATCTAGCGATACGTCACTTTCGACACGTCCTAGAAGGCCGCTCCTTTGTCGTCTTCACCGACCACAAACCCCTAACTTACGTGCTCGGCTCGACTACCGACCGATACTCTCCTAGAGAGTCGCGCCACCTTGACTATATCGCTCAGTTTACGACCGATATACGGCATGTCTCAGGTGTGCACAACGCCGTCGCCGATGCACTTTCCCGCATTCAAGCTATCTCCGCTGACGCCGGCACTGCTATCGACTTGGCAGCCATGGCCACAGCACAACTCAACGATCCTGAGGTTGAACTACTACGCAGGTCTCCCTCATTGGATATACGACCCGTTCCGCTGACATCATCAGACGGCACTATACTCTGCGATTTATCTCTGGGCACGCCGCGCCCAGTCGTCCCACGTGAGTTTCGGCAGACCGTGTTCGACGCGTTGCACGGCTTGTCTCATCCAGGCGTTCGTGCATCGGTTAAACTCGTAACCGCACGATTCGTTTGGCGCAATGTTAATCGGGACGTCCGTACCTGGGCAGCTGCTTGCCTTCCGTGTCAACGCGCGAAGGTGCACAAGCACACGAGAAGCCCATTAGGCACTTTTCCGACGCCAGACGCACGTTTTCATCACGTGCACGTCGACCTCGTAGGTCCTCTGCCGCCTTCCAAAGGCTCGGTATATCTACTGACCTGCATCGATCGATTTACTAGATGGCCTGAGGCCGTCCCTATCCCAAATTGCTCCTCGGAAACAGTAGCGAAAGCTTTTATGGAGCGCTGGGTAGCTCAATACGGCTGTCCCGCCATCGTGACCACCGATCGAGGGTCACATTTTTCGTCAACGTTTGCCACGTTGCTTAAGGATTTAGGCTGTCGCCACGTTCAGACGACAGCGTATCATCCGGCCGCTAACGGCATGGTGGAGCGTTTTCACCGCCAGTTGAAGGCAGCGCTACGTGCGCACGCAGATCCTTCATGGTCTGAAACGCTTCCCCTCGTTCTCCTAGGCTTAAGAAACACGGTTAAGACTGACTTCGACGCCACACCAGCGCAGCTAGTCTACGGTTGCACGCTGCGGTTGCCCGGACAGCTGGTAGCACCAGCCCCATGTACTTCCACTTTTGACTACGGAAGTTACACTGACCGATTGGCTCACCAGATGCGTGAGCTACGTCCACCCGCTCCTCGATCGCAGAAGACACCAGTGTACGTGCCCGAGAAGCTGTCTACGTGTTCACACGTCCTTCTTCGCGCAGACGGTGTTCGACAGCCTCTTCAGTCGCCGTACATAGGACCCTTCAAGGTGCTGCATCGTGCGAGTAAGGCGTACACTATTGACCGCGGTGGTCGACACGAAGTCGTCACCATCGACCGTCTGAAACCCGCCTTTATGGAAGAAACTACCTCGCCTACTTCGTCTAGTAGTGCTTCGTGCGACGTCACAACTCATCGCACCAGCTTACAGCATCCTAGTCCAGTTCAACCAGACCACGATCTCGGTCTACAAGCCGTCCCAACATCTCCCGAATCTAGTCCGCCGCCTCCCACGACCAATCGCCGTGGTCGGGAGGTACGTAAGCCCGTTCGCTTCTCCGACTATGTACAGTGTAAATACTTTTAACTTTGTAGATATTGTATATATTTGCCTCGTTTTTGGTCGATTAACGTTTTGAAAACAAACAAAAATATCAAAAACCCCCGAAAAACCTTTTTCGAAAAAAATATTCAAAAACCAAAAAATATTTAAACACGCAGCTCATTCGTTTGTTCTTTTTGGCGTTTTCTGCGCGTGTTTTTCTATTTTCTCGTCTTTACATGCCCCAACCCTCCCCTTCGATCGACTGGCCCACACGAGGAATCTTTTCGAGGACCCTGACGCGAACACTGGTCGCTTCTCCGCGGGACGAGGATCGCTTCTTCGCGGGACGAGGATCGCTTCTCCGCGAGACGAGGGTCGCTTCTCCGCGGGACGAGGATCGCTTCTCCGCGAGACGAGGGTCGCTTCTCCGTGGGACCGTGGTCGTTTTCTTCGTGGGACGAGGGTCGCTTTGGCGCGGGGCGGGGTGCGGCGGGGGGAGAGACCACTCCCAAGCGCACCGTTTGGCAGCAGCGGAGGTTGAGGTCCTGTCGGCCTTTTTCTGGACTAGCCAGTTTTTTTGTAGTCCGACAAGCCCGCTCCAACGGCTCGCCGAAATGCACCCTGCCCTGCATTCAATAAATAACGAATCATAAACGGCACAGCGGACTCCGACTTCTGACGAACCCCCATTTACACGAACGCACGCCCATTTTTACTCGGCACGATTTCGCCTTACGAACCTCGTTTCAACATTCCTTTTCGATTTCGAAGGCTTTCTATGTTCAGCCTTCTAGGGGGGGAGCTCTGTAGCGCCCAAAAAGATAACTCTTATCTTTCGTGTACAATTTACTTGTTGACCGATTGTACATTACTCCTTCTTGTTTTAATCTTACAACCGGCTCGACACACAACTGCCTTGTAAGTCCCCGCGCTCACGTGTACGCTCTTGCCTCGCTTCATCCGTCCGTTTCTTGTTCTAGCCCATCGAATACAGTCCGCTGTGTCCGACTCCCATTGCCTTCTGATATCCGCGCTTAATTCCGCGCATCGTCTCGGACTAGTATTAACTAGTCCTACAAGAGCACGAGCAAACACCGGGATTCGGGGCATCTGATACCTGCTTATATATCAAATACTTCACGAGAGTATGCAACCCATCCAAAAAACGATTAGTCGCCGACCCTTTAATGGTCGGCGTAAACTCATTTGCTTCATCCATCCAATCTAACATACTCTTGGTCTCCGAGAAGCTCTCATGCATGTACACAAATGCCCAAGGTCTACTCAGCAAATTAGCTGAATTAAGACTTCGACACGCGTCTGCAGCTTGGGACCTCATCGCTGTCACCGAAACGTGGTTGCGCTGCGAGATAACCGATGCTGAATTTGCACTAACGGGAATGTCCGTTGTCCGGAAGGATCGAACCAGCGAAGGTGGTGGGGTAGCCCTTTATTTTCGTAACAACATGCAATGCGAACCCATAAAGTATTCGGAAACTGACGTACCTGACGCCATTTGGTGTAATTTCCGGCTAAGAGGGAACGATCTTGGTCTATTGGTTGTTGTTTACCGACCACCATCGTCTACTCCTTAGATGGACTACAATTTGATGGCTGCGTTGCGGCAAGTGATAAACAAGAAGTACAGTCACATTCTAGTCACCGGTGACTTCAACTTGCATGCCCTCGAATCCCAGGCCACACCAGGAGAACAATTCAAAGCAGTTTTGCAAGATCTGGTTTCAGACTACCCTCTTTTTGGCCACGTCACTACGCCCACTAGATCCAGGGGAACTGACAGGCCATCCATGTTGGACCGAATATTCACCAATGAAGAATTAATGGTCGAGAGAGTAATAACCGATGCTCCTGTGGGCCGCAGTGATTATGCGACGCTATTGTTTCACTACATGTGCTACGCGGATTATCCTAAAGAGCATGCCGAGGAATATCGTGTCGTAATCAACTATGAAGACCTGTCCGACCTAAATGATGCAACAAGCTGGTCGTTCTTAGCTGAATTAACCCCTGAGGTGGCATGCGGTGAATTCGTCAACATATTTAACAAGCTCGTGGCAAGCACATCTGAAACCAAACTCTACCGGACTAGAAGGATGAAGTCCTTCGTAAGGAGCAAGACAAGTAAGTCCATGGCATTAAGGGACTTGGCATGGCAAACCTATATAGCCTCCCCGAACGACCATACCTGGGATGTCTACACAATACAAAGGAACCACTGTGTCAAACTCGTCCGGGAGGATAAATTGAAGAATCAACAAGGTCTAGTGGAAAAGTTTTGCTCCAATCCCAAACTGCCATACAGACACGTAAACAATTTGCGCCGTGTTAAGCGCGGTATTCCTGCTCTGCACACAGCATGCGGGTTAGCCCAAACCGCACAAGAGGCGGCCAACGTCCTTGGACAACAATTTGGCCGTACCTTTCAAAGTGCGCAATCACCATACATCCTGCCTAAGCAGATAACGCCGCCATCAGGGCTAAATCACATATCGTTTACCTCCGCAGCTGTACTGAAGAGGCTGATGTCTTTGCGCGAGTTCAGCTCCCCGGGTGCGGACGGCATTCGACCGAAGGCGTTGAAAGTTGCTGCCATGAGTTTGGCAGGACCATTAGCAATTTTCTTTCAACGATGTCTGAACGAGATGCGCGTCCCCACGATGTGGAAGCACGGAATCATCACGCCTATCTACAAAAGTGGCAGTCGTGCTGAACCAGCAAATTATCGCCCGATAACACTACTTCCTGTGATCTCCAAGGTTATGGAGTTCATTGTAGCGGAGGCTTTAATGGGGTACCTGGAGAACAACCAAATTCTCGTTCCGGAACAGCCTGGATTTCGCTAAAATCGCTCCTGTACAACTAACCTCTTGATTGCTCGTGCAAACTGGACGGAATCTGTGGACGCTGGTGTAGGAGTCGGCGCGGCCTACTTGGATTTCTCAAAGGCATTCGACCGTATAGACCATCGCATTCTCCTCCACAAACTCTAAAAATATGGAATCGGCGATCCTGTTCTGGGCTGGATAGGAGACTTTCTCGTGCAACGTCACCTGAATGTGAGGGTTAGAAGCAACCTATCAGAATCCATCGAAGTTCAGTGCGGCGTACCTCAAAGCTCGGTACTTGGACCCCGCCTGTTCCTGGTCTTCATAAATGATCTCGCGAGTGTGCTATCTTCTAACTGTTTGCTATTTGCTGATGACCTAAAGGATGGCGCACTATAGCTGCAGTGGAGGATCACACAGTCTTACAGGAGGACCTGGACAAAGCGTACACATGGTCCACCGAGAACATGCTACATTTCAACGTCACCAAGTGCAAAGTTCTCAGTATACGGCACAAGAGTGTGCACAACTACCGCCTAGGACCACAAATTCTACAGCGGGCTTCTCACGAGTGCGATCTCGGCGTGATAGTTCAAGATGACCTCGGTTGTTCGAGGAAGACTGAAAAGGCAGCTAAGAAAGCGAACCAGTACCTCGGCCTTCTTCGCAGAGTCTTCGGGAAATTTGACCCTTCGATCTTTCCAAAAAGGCTTAGTGCGTACGTGAGGCCGCACGCGGAATACGCTATCCAAGCGTGGCAACCCTGGCTCAAGCACCATCTCACCGCGCTCGATACTGCACAACGTAGGGTAACGAAGAGCGTCAGAGGTTTGATCAGCCTCCCCTACCCACTCAGGCTGAAGACCCTCAAAATATACAGTGGACGTTATCGGCGTCTAAGGGGCGATCTCATAATGGTGTACCAGATTCTGAGAGACCCCAATCACCCATGCCATCCCCTTCTAATACTCAGTCAAAACACCTCGCTAAGAGGTCACCAGTTTAAGTTAGTCACGCAGTACAGCCGCCTGGAATGTCGGCGAAACTACTTCTCCCTTCGAGTGGCACAGCCTTGGAACGCCCTCCCGGAACATGTAACTAATGCACCCACCCTATCCCATTTCAAAAAACGCCTTGACGATACCCTGTCACATTTACACTACGTGCTATAGCTCATGACCACCAGATGCTGGCACTAATACACAACAGACAGGGGATAGTGCCATAACCCTACTCGAGAGTGAGTCACTCCAAACGCCTTGCACAAAATTTGATACACGCTACTACTATAGAAACTGAATTGCTGTATCTTGTCGACCCAAGATAACTGCACACGAGTAAGCGTTGTCCTTGCTATCTTTTTTATTTTTCTCGCCTATGATGTGAACAATAACCACTCCCCTGTTGCTTTGTGTGCGTACATTCTCATTTTAAACTCCCTTTATAAGACAGTGCAGTTACATCTGTAAGCGCCCGAACTGAAGACTCCATTATCCCTTCGCTATCTTTTTTATTACTCTAAACACCCTACGGGACATGTCAAGCACCTGCTTTTTTACCCGTTATAAATCATTGTTCATATCTGATACAATACTGCTGTGGTGAGGCCAAAGAAGCCATCGAAAGCTGTTTGATCCTCGAACCTGTTGAAGGTTTCGAAGAAGCAATGAGTATTTTGCGCAAGCGCTTCGGACGACCTCATATGATAGCGAGGACCCACATCAATGCTTTAACTGATGGACCTAACATCAAGCCCAATGATTTTGTAGCCCTCTCTCGTTTAGCTGTGGAACTGCGGTCCTGTTACTTAACTCTGAAGCAGTTGAAATACGAAGCTGATCTGAACGCGTCGCGAACAATTAGCGCTATAGTTAGACGACTGCCAAACCATTTGCAATTCAAATGGGCCGAGCATGCCGCTAGGGTCATCCGGACGGAAAGAGAGCCAAATTTTATTGATTTGATAGAGTTCGTGGATGAAACAGTCGACGTCGTCGATCCTTACTTGTCTTTTATTCCACGCACCTTCGGATCAACTGTCAACACGGATAGAAGTAGCGGCTTAAATCCCCGAGGTCGTGCCGCTTACTCGAACGCTGTAACATCGGTAGAACGGCCTCACCTAAAATACATTTCCTGTAAATGACATCCTTATTTAGATCAATGTGATGAATTCCAAAAATTAACTACCACCAGCGTCTAGAATTCTGTTATTTACACCGATGGGGCCAACTGTGTCTCAAACCGAATCATAACTTACAAAGCTGCCGGTCAAGAAAGTATTGTGGATTAAGTAATTGTAGGCTACTTCATCACCCGTTGCTACATGTTGATCAGGGTAACATAAACCCAGGACACTAAATACCGAAGAACCAAAAAGCCTACTGTTTCATTTGGTGTATTGCCCGTTATAGTCGCTGGTCCTGCTGGCACCGTTCGAACTCTAGCCTTGGTCAGACAACTTATTGATCGATTTCCACTTGTTTCAAAATATCGGAGTGCAGGGAGCCATGAGGACAGCGAATCTATGTACCGTCGCTGGTCGATGCCAGGTAAAGTCGCAGTCGGTTAGTGTAACTGTTCAATTGATAGATGGTGGTAATGCAGTCCGGTTAGACTCTGTCAGGTCAGTCAGTCGTCTCTCTGAAACACTTGGAACAGGCACAAGAAATGATTTCTACAGATGGCCTCACTTATGCGACTTACGGTTTCCAGAATCGAAGGGGAACATAAAGCTTCTGATTGGAAGTGATAACCCAAATCTGCAATGGGCTTTGGATCAGAGGTGCGGGAGTGCTAGTGATCCGTATACTGTTAGAACACCATTGGGCTGGATGGTGTTGGGTCCGAGCAAACTGCCCGAGTTCAAGGAAAAACAACTTGTGTTAGCTGCAGTGGATCGCTTACAGAAGAGAAATTTGGTTCGCTCCGAAACCACCAACCTACATCATTTATTCGAACAAATGTATGAAACGGACTTCGACGGCTTTGACAGTCCCAGATTGGCCATGTCCGTGAACGACAGGCATGCACTCAAACTCATGGAGACTTCCGTAAAAAGAGTCGGCGGTCATTATGAGATCGCGTTACCATGGCAAGGTAAGAGGCCACGATTATCAGATAATAGACAGGTCGCACTGTTGAACAAGCGACTGTTAAAAGATGCCACAGTACTCGAGGCATACATCATCAATCATCATCATCATCACTTTACATAAAGTCTTCCTTGTGTGGGAGACTAGTGAGCGCCTATCAAAGTGCTGATGGTCTATGTGAGCAGTTATGGTGTTCGATACACCTAAGACGCTGCGAGTTGCACGTGGGCGTGGTATATCGCAGCCCACTGAGCCGCAGTTTGGACTGGTTGCCGCATGTCCGCAAACACATGAGTCGTCCGATGTTCCTACTCATGGGCGATTTCAACTTGCCCCGAATACAGTGGCCTGAAGCTGAACTTCTCCCCGGCCACTGTGAAGTAGAGAGGAAGTTTACG